GGGGGGGGGGGGGGGGGGGGGGGGGAGAGAGAGAGAGAGAGAGAGAGAGAGAAAGGGGACGGGACGGGAGGACACAGACGGCCCCGGGTGGGGGGGGGCGGTGAAATCCAGACACGCTTCCTTCGCCCGTCGGGATGAGGACTCGCCCGTTCAGCCTTTAGGTCAGAAGGGGAAGCGTGTGTGTGTGTGTGGGGGGGTTGTCTCTAGAGATGGCCGGGGTCCCCCCACCCTCCCTACTCCTTCCTTCTCCGCTGCACTTTGAACCTGGGTTTAGGCAGCCGGTTTGGGGATTGTGTGTGTGTGTGTGTGTGTGTGTGTGGGCGGGGGGGGGCGGCTTTCGGCAGGGCTGGGCGTCTCGCCTGTTCGCCGAATTTTGGGTGTCCCTGGCCGGAGAGGAAGAGAAGGGGCGGCGAACCCAGAAACCCATAAGAAGGAGGACATTAAGCTGGTTTTTAAAATTGCCCTTCTTTCTTCAGATGCAAAGATTTCGGATTTTTTTCCTTCCCCCCCCCCCCCCAACTCCCAAAGAAAACGAAGTCGAACCACCATGCAACAAAAATCAACTTCAATTATTATCTATTATTTTTATTATTATCTATTATTATTATCTATTATTATTATCTATTATTATTATTATTTTATTAATATTACTACTATTACTATTATAGTATAATATATTATACTGTAATAATCATATAATAACAATGGATTATTATCCATTGTTTCTTGATTAAACCCGACGTCGGTTTGCAAGCCGAGAGTTTCGGAAACGGGTTTAGAGGGGAGAGAAACTGGTTAATTTCACTTTCTGCGTTTATTCCTATCTGCCTCGCTCGTTTCGCTCCCTCCCTCCCCATTTCTTTCCTTCTCTTCCCAGGGTTTTTAGCCGCCTTGGATAAAATTGGAGATGGCTCTTTTTCGGTTGATTTATTTTTAATGTCCTCTCTTTTCAGTTTCCTGGTTTCGTTCTCCGGGAGGGGGGCGGGGAAGACTTTAATTCGATAAGATCAGAATCGAATATACTGGTCTGATATAAATACCTTCCTTACAGACGGAAACTTTGAACTCGGATGAATCATAGAAAGCATGACTGCAAAAGTCCCAGATTTTATTTACTGGATCGTTGCATCGGTCAACCTTTTCTCCTTATCCAGCCTGATATTTTTTTTTAACCCCCTTTTCTTTTAAAAACTAGAGAATGAATCGGGGGGGGGGGGGTACCACTCAAAAAATAAAATTATTCAGTTCCCATTTTTCTTTAACACTTTTTATTGGGAGGTAGAAAAATATTTTTCCATTTAGAAAAATAAAAATCTCAAGTTTAGCCGATTTTAATATTCATCTTCCGGGTTCCTTCTTTTTCACAAATATTTCTGGCCACCGTCTGTCTGCATGGTGAAAATAAATGGTGGGATTGGAAATCAGAGGTGAATATTCTGAAGTCGTTTTGGAGTAAATGTGAACAAGATGAAACAAGGTTAAAAAAAAAATCCTGCGTGGGTTTACCTGAGAATTCGTCCCATTGTATGTGGCGGAACTGAATGTTAGCTTTGTAGGCTCAATTTTTCTCCTATTGAAATCAGCGACACAGTGAAACTCCGTGTGTGTTTGTTCCAAAGCAGTTGATTTCAGTAGGTTCTGTTGAAATTCAAGGTGTGTGTCTGTATATATACGCAATACGCTTAAAATAGTTCAGCTCTGATTGGACCATGCATTTTAATTTGGGATTTCTTTGCTCTGAATGTGTGGCATGAAAAACTTGGTTATTATTAAGTTGTTGTTGTCATTGACAATTATTTTTGTTCACTTTTAGCTGCTTATCTAGAAAACAAGGATAAATCACAAGCTCAGCCTTCCATATGGCCACGGATGGCAGGGTCATGCCAGGGGTGAAGAGGCGATGGGCGTGCCTAACAGGTTCACCGCAACATGTGAACGGCTGCCAAGCTACTTTTAAAGGTTGTGTACTGACTTTATCTTGGAAGCCACTCGGAAAAAATACTTCTTTGAAAACAAATTGGGCTGCAGGACTAGGAAATCAAATGCTACATGCTGAGCAGCAATCTTTTTAACTGATGAATGTAATATATATACATATATAGGTATAATATGCAACGTACAACAGGGGTCGCCAACCTTGGCGACTTTACGACTTGTGGACTTCAACTCCCAGAATTCCTCAGCCAGCTCGGAGGAACATATAATATATATTATGTTATTTATATAAGATAGATAGCTAGATAGCTAGATAGCTAGATAGCTAGATAGCTAGATAG